CATCACTGTTTGTAATGTCATTTGCTAAGAATTCAAAACCACAGAGCTGCAGCAGGTGAAAAGGACATACAAGGTCCTTACCTGACAGGCATTGTACAGCAACTGGTGTTCAAATTTCTTTATTCCTAGGATCTGCTGAAACATCTCGTACAGCTGCTCTTTGCTGAGGATGAGCTCGGAGGCAGCGCTTGCTGTCATCCTGGCCTGCTGCTTGCGAGGGTCTTCCTCACCCCGGTAGATGGCATCAAACTTGGCCATCCAGGAGCTCAGCACAGTCTCCTTACTGAGGCCGTCGATCTCGGGCAAGCTGCGCACCCTCTTCTCAATGTGCTTCTTGAAAACTTCCCTTGAGTCGTTGGCAGAAAAGCCTCCACTTTGGACCATCCGAGCCACCCGGTCACTCTTGAGAAACACCTGTATTTTAAAAGAAGGAGACTTTTTAAATTGGGAACGGCCAGTTGGTATTTTGTGATGTCTGCCCTTTTGGAATTACCCGTCCTTAATCTTCTCAGATTTTCTCAATAGCGAGTTTGCAGGCGAGTGTGGCCCCTATAAAAGCTGTTGATTCTAACCACTTGGAAATTTAAACAGTTCTAATGTAGTGAGACCTTTGATTTCACAGTCACCAAGAAATATTTTTCAATTGTTTTAACTTCAACAGTGCTTGAATATTTTTATCTGCATAAAATTGACAATCTTAATGTGTTTCTACACAGAAACATGTGAGGTAGAATCCTTTCACCTGACTGCTTGTATTAATAAAGACATTTTTAAAGCACTTTTAATTCAAGAATTTCAAAGTGGTTTATATATACAAGGAGATATATATCAGGACAGACCAAGGACAGTACAGTGTCCTTGGTCAGCATACTGGGTCATTAGCTTTGGAAATTCCTGTCTCAGAGGGAATACTGCCACCTACTGGTCCACAAAACCACTTACAGTGGCAACTTGACCAAGCCCAACCTTGCTTAGCTGAAGACTGAAAGAAATCAGTCAAGAAGATGGTCATACTACAATACTTCTTTCAAATGGCTAACAAACATTTCAGAAAATACTGCAGAATGAGCTATATTTAGATTTTTTTAAATTAATTTATCTATGAAAAACAAATGTGTTTTCTAGTGGCTTATCTAATGATTCAGCACACAAAAAGACTGACACCTTTTACTTACATGAGAACTAAGATGGACAAATGGATAAGTCCAGCTAAAATTGTAAAATTTTTCAAACAAAACAACAATGGAGAACATAAAATATTGACTGTGAAACTCTATAGTTTCTTTTCTTCCTCAGAGCAATTTCCTACATCACCACAACACAGTCTTGTTATGTAACGATTTCATTTCCATTTACCTACACTTTCTTTTTGTAAAAAGTCTCCTTTCAAACGGTTTTATTTCTGTTGAGTGATGGAGCTCTGGATCGCTGACTGTTTCAGATTTTGGCAACTTTGCCTCAGAAACCTCCTTTTCTTTGCAGTGACACATATAGCTAAAGAAAACAATCTATGTCAATTAAATTCATGTATAAACACAAACTACCGTGGGAAACTGGAACTGAAGGTTTTGGTTTTATTTGATAGGAGAAGAATGAAGATATTACTGAATATAGTGGATGACTATATTGTTCATATTCTGCCAGCGTTTAAGGTTACTTTAAGGTTTAAGGTTTAAGGTTACTTCAGCAACATTAGTTTAGTGAATTCATTTTTGTTTCAGTGCATCACACTTCTACTTCTCCCAGTTGTCGTCCTTCTGGCTTCTTTCCATCTACAGGGCAGTTCTTGATGCCTACATTGTTGTGCACATTCTGACTGATGTTTGATTGGTTAATTGGACTGTAAGGGATTAGACAATTGTGAGACAGTTGTTTTTGCCCTACTGGTGATGTGTTGTACTAATCCTGCTCAGTATAAGAGGAACTGCAGGTTCAGACAGTGGGTGTCTGTGCTTGGCTGAGGAGCCAATGGTGCAGAGGAGCCAATGGTGCAAAGCTGCCATCTGTGGGATTATGACTCAATGCCTCTAAATCAGAATCCCCACTGAAAGGGTTAGCAAATAAGGAATAAGTGCAAAAAGAACTCAGTTTAGTGGATGACTTTCAGCTGGATGGCAGGAGACTCACAGTTTTACGTTTAATAATACTTTGAAGTCACCAATCTAAGGACTTAAATCTCCACAATATCTAAATATAGAAAAGGGGCGTTAGTCTTATTTTATATCAGGGGCTAATTTTCTTGAAATGTCACTTCTGTGTACATCTCATGTACAGTATCAATACTGGTACATAGTGAAAAGACCACTTGAATGGAGATGGAACTGGTAGAGCCTAATTCACAATATATAAATACATCAAAAGGTAAGAAGGGAAGGAAAATCATAGTAAGTAAAGGTGCCAAGTTCATTTAAATTTCTCTATAATTTGTTTAATAGTTTCCTTTTTATGTCCAATTCATATTAAAGTCTCTAAAGCCTCTCACTGTAGAGAATATTAAGCCCGAGATAAACTCGGTGATTTCATCCTGTTCTCCTAGATTTTACATGATGCACGTATAATTCTCATAACCCAAAATGAACCCAGAGAGAACTGAATGTTTAATATTAACTGGGGAAAACAGTCTTGTAAAAGGAGTAGATTCAATATTTATTCCGGTTTACAGCAAAGAGTTCATCATTACTGCTCTTGTGTGTTGTGAGTGCTAATATAGTTATGCATACTAGACCTACTAAGCTAGCAAATGGTAATTATAACAAATGTTCTGTATGTGTTTTTTAGCATCTATGTACTGCAGATGGAAATCACATTTGAGTTAAGTAAAACAACAAATATGGTATATTAAAAAGTCATAATCAAGCAGCTTTGTTTGATAAACGCAAAGCCCTACAGCGTACAGGTGGTGAAAACTGCCCAGTCCATCAATAGGATGCTCTCCCATCCATCCAGGACATTTATGACAGACGGAGCTAGAGGACAGCTCTAAGCATTATCAAAGACCCCACACACCCTAGCTACCGACCATTTGACCCTCTACATTCTGGAAAACGGTACCGGAGCATTCGGGCCCAGACTACCAGACTCGGAGACAGTGTTTACCTTGGCACTATCAAACTATTAAACCCAGTCTCTCTCACCTATGATTTGAACCCTTACAGAGCCTTCTCTCTTTATCAAAACTCATACACACATTGAAATCAACCTCTGCCTCACATGTCACATGTCCCCATAATTTTGTATCCTTTATTTCATTCTGTTGACATATGATTTTGCACAACTAATGTTGTTTTGCGCATTGCCTGTTGTCTCTGTCTTTCTTTTCTTGTACAATTGTATTGTAGTTTTTTATACTACTTACGGTCTGAGAGGTACAGTAGCTAAATAGCATTTGGTTATACCATATACCTGTGTATTAGTATAATGACAATAAACCTGAACTTGAAATAAACTTGAACTTGATTTAAACTATTTAGGATACAAATTGAATGTTTTTTAAAACTTTGACCCTTTTTTGAAAATGTCAGTTTTTGCCACAAACATTCTTCGCCACAACCTTTGAAAAAGCACACAAAACACAAAAGGTTGAGGGCTCATGTTAACTGTGAAATTAAACATTTACCTCATAATAGCTCTGGACAGCATTGATGAAAGCTTCGTCTGCCACAATCTGAGTCTCTCCATTTAGAAATGCCTGGAATCGATCTTTCACTGTCTGAAGCTGTTGTTTGCTTATCTGGAAAAAGGAAAGAACACAGGAGACATAACTACATTAATGCTGTGTGTGCACCTCTTTAGGATAGATCTGTTACAGCATTTTTTTTCAGAAGTCTTCATTGTTTTACAGTCATTTCTATTTTGCATGCATTCAGACACTACCTTGACTGAGTCTGTTAGTATGAGAAACAGGAATGCTAAAAAACATACATTTCCATGAGCCCAAATGTGATGTAAAGAAGTGACTCTCTGATGATATAAGAGTTGGATTTTTCATTGAGGCAAAAGTTAATGTCTGCAATTATACAAGAAAAACGTTGCTGAAAAATGATCTAAACTATTATATTAGCCACTAATATGTGTTTGTTTCCTACAACAGCCTTCTTGCCGGTTATTGGAGTTTTTTCATTTGCATTGTTGACTCAGCTATCACCCAGCACTGTTCAGTTACGACAAAAAATAAAGGCAGGACATTTGATTTTAAGTCAATAAATATCAGACTTTTTCCATATTCTCCTTAATGGAGTTAATAAAAAAATGAATATTTAATGTAAGAAATAAATGTCACAGTTGAAATGGTTCTTTCGGTGAAAAATGAAAACCCTTTGTTCTTAAAGCACAGCCAGTGCCCTTCAAAATGAATAATGTTCCCCCAAATGTCCAGAGTACATTAACACTATCTCATACATTTTTAAAACATTTTGGGGTTGGACTCAGTGCTTAAAACCCTTCGTAAAGTAAAAAAAAAAATTTTCCCCAGAACCCATTCTTTTCCTTTGACTTTGCTACTATGCAAATAATTAACATTTCACAAGTATAATGTTCATATTTGATTTAGGAATTGTTAATTACATGTTATACAATACTGTTTTGCCAGCCCTTTTAATGATGTAAATTAACATTAGACTATTTCAGCTCATGATCTTGAGTTTTTGCCAGCTTTAAAATAGGCTTTGTATTCTTGGTCTATAATATCAGAGACTTTTGCTTAGTATTAAATAATACACCAATGGTACCTATGGAAACTTACTACGTTTTTTTTTTGCATTTTAATGAGATAATGGTGCGTTTAAATGAGAAACGTATTGCATTTATACAAGATAGTATTGCATTTTAATTAAAAACGTATTGTGTTTATACGAGATAGTATTGCATTGATATGTGATAATATTGTTTAAACAAGAAACTTGTAGCATTTATATGAGAAAGTATTGCGTTTAAAAAAACAAACATTTTGCCTTTATGTGAGATAACATTATGTTAAACACCATAGTTAATTTGTGAACAATATTGTTTACCATATTAATATATATTTTTTATGCATTTTATACAAAATAATGTAACGCAACGGGGGCTCAGGCGGGCGCCCTTGCCGCATCTGGTCGGCCCCATCCCGACTGGAGGCTCGAACCCGGGACTTCCGCGTCTCTCTGCAGCGGCCTAGCCCCGTGAGCTAAAGAGAGATCTCTCTACAGCCCAGTAGCTGTAGTCCTGCTATCACAGGGAAGGGCGGTGACGTCACCCGCTCTGGTACGCCGGCTCTTACACACAGTGCTTGTCGGCCGTAAGCGTTACAATAATATTGTCCCATGTAAAGAAGCATTGGCTTTAACATCAGAAGAAGACCATTACTACAGAAGCTTATTAGGGCCACTGCAAAACATATTTTTTTCTCTGTGGTGTTAATAAGCTTCCATAAATACCAAACAGCTATCAGTTGCTTAAAACTAACCCAAATTTTAGAAACAAATATAGACTTGACTGCTACAGGAGGAAAGTCATGTTTTGTTTCATGATAAAGATTCAATACTGATATTCAGACATGCTGCAGGTCTTTATTAATCCCCAAGCAGAGCTCTAAACACAAAATCTATGTTGTCCTGCAACAATTGCTACAGTATCACAAAAGTTAAACCTAACTTTGGTTTGGACTCTAGCTCTTGGTTCAGGTTCAGGGGTCTGCAAACAGGATGTTGGATCCTGGGTGTCTTCTAACTGAGCTCTGAATGACTTTATTACACAATCAGGTTCTTAATTAGTATAAATCATTGCAGTGCCACACATTATTGTGGACATTCACAGATAAATAGATTTACATCCTTACAGATATCCTTATGAATGCAATATTGTGTATTTAACAAAACGCTCAGCTTTCTGTGCTAAATAATATCTGAATTCTTTTGTGTTTTGCAGTATCTGTTGTTTTTAGCTGGAGCCATGTACTATACAGTGAATTAGATCTGAATCACACCAGCATAGTGCTAGTGAAAAGATGTCCTTTTGAAGGTTACATGAATTCAGCAGTTGCACAATATACTATGAAGTGGTCCCTGAACTTATGCCTGTTAACACATGAGCTGCCATACCTCTGTCTATGTTTTCATACTGTGGCTTTATCAGAATTTTGGCATTCATTTGTAGAGGATATTAGTAACTTAACTGTAGACAAGTTTTTTTTTATTTGCAACATAAGATGGGTGTCATATGGTGATTATGTGAGTTTTGGGATTTTTGATTTATAAAATCCATTAAGATTTATGCTATAAAACAACATAAGATAATCTTTGATTAATACATGTGAAAAATATATAGCATAGGAGCTAATTGCTTTATGCTTTTTGCCGATAGTATTTTTAGTCTTAAAATCCTTTATTGCCAAAGTATATATACACATTTTTTTCTTTTTTTAGACAATTATAAGCTAATGTATGTTGAGCTACTGTATATTGTGTATTACAGGTGTGCAAATTGTGTTTTCAAATTTATTTTATAGAAACTGCTCCTAGAGAAGATTCAGGCACTTTACAGATATTGTAACATTATTCAATTAAATCTAATTAGTGAGAAGAAAAAAATGCTGAGGGAAGTGCAATTGACTTTTGTTTAATTATTCACATTTGTGGTACACTGATTTCCAATATCCACTGCAAATTGAAGTGAAAAGTGTAGGAAGAGAGATCAAAAGAAACATTATTTATTGTTTTCGCAAAGAACCCATTGATAAACATGAAAATATTGTAAAAGCTCAAACAAAGCCAAACCATTGTCATAGCCTTTCATTAAAATTCAGCTGGAAATTAGGTAATGAAAAAGGATATGAAAATGCATGTTCCTAGCATTTAAAACAGACATTGTAGTACTAGAAACACAGATTAAATAAAATGACTCAATTTGGTACAATGCATTAAGCTCAGTGGTAAAGACACTTTGTAAAGTGAAGAAAAAAAAGCATTATACTGTAGCTATTCATGATTTCATAAATGATAGAAAATACTGCTTTGTTTTCACTGTCTGTATAAAGTGAGTCTAAAATTCCATGTTCCCTCTAGCGCTCCTACACTGGCTCAAAAAAGCTACAGACTCTCTGTTTGACTCAGCGATTGATTTCAAAATTAACCCTTATCTCTAAGTGCAACAATTGTGCAAAAGGCTTTTTCACTCGCATAGCTACTAAAAGAAAGCCATGCACCTCATCCACAGACAAGAAGACATAATCTCTGTTTTCGTCAAAGGCTGCACTGTGTGAAATGTTTAATAATAGAATGCCTGTGAGAGGTGTTTCCCAGGTGACACAATATGGTTAAAATAACAATCCAGGATTATCTCAAAGTGTCAACCTGCCTGCCTTGCACACATTACAAAACTGGTACAATGCTTGAAAGTAACATTCTTTGGTCTCTTTGCATTTGTAACCTTTCTAATTTGTTACAAGGATATTCAGAAGCACCAAACACCTCTGATGCAGACACTGGAAATTGTTAAGAATGAGAAGCTCAAACTGAGAAAATGTCACAAGAGCTCTTTCTGTTTTCTGACTGTAACATGCTAATTTCCCTAATTTCTTCTGAAGTCAGGCTGAGCTACTCACAGCCCAAGAGCTGTTAAAAAAAGGTCCTTTGCTTTTACTGCTCTGGAGCTTCCTGAACAGGTGTGGCAATATCCTGCCAGCGGTGTCTCAATGATACACTTTACAATACTGTGCACAGGAGCCTCCGAATAACAGTTCAGTGTGTTATGAGAGAAAAGCCGAATAATGGGTTGCTGCTTCCTTTGCTGCTGTCTAGTATTTGCTGATGTCAACTTGCCTAGAAAGTCTTGTTTTATGAAACTCTGGTGACCAATGAGTCATCTGTATCATCCTTGTCTTTATTATTATTGTTGCTTCTACAACCACATAGACGTTTGTTGCATGTACAGTACTTTACTTTTGAAGAAGCTTTAAAGTAAATAATGAACTGAAATACAAAAATACCCTTAAAATGTGCACTTTTTTTCTTCTCGTGCTCTTCTCTTTTAATGGACAAGATTGAACACCACAAGCTTCTTAGCACTGCCTGCCGGTCAGAGTAATCCAGTGAAGAAGCATTTTAGAATATACTGTTACAGTACTGTATGTAGAGAGAGTACTAGCCTTTTATTAACAAATATCCCCAATGAACATTATTTTAATAACTAACATCTCTATTAAGACAGAGCCTTATAAGACAGTGGAGGTCCTATATATTAATTTCTTGCATTCAAAGCATAACAAGTGAAGAGTCTCTCCCTAACACCTGAAACCTGATATCAGAAAAATATCATCTGAGACCAGTCAGATGGGTAGTTACTCGAAAAGTAAAAATACTAAAAACCAAATACAGTATATTCAAAGTATGGGAAGTATGCGAGTTACAGGAGGCATGGTAAGTTATTGTTTGTTCACGTTTTTTTAATGCGTGAACTCTTCATATTTCACACCAAGCATGTGTTAAGCATGAGTGCTCGTTTAATTTTAAATTAGACTAACACAATGTCAAAACAAGTCATACTTACTTTAACAAGGGAATCCAATGACTAACATCTATACTGAGATTGATAATATACACAATAGGCAAGCAGGTGCGTTTTGAAGCTGAATGCAAAACAAAGAGATTCTGTGCTTACTGCAACCTTTGTCTATTAATTTGAAACAAGACTTTGATCTTAGAAGAAAGAGTGGGAAACGTACTGTGAAACCCATTGTCTTTGAGACTCTCTAGC